TCTGGCAAAAGATTATCTCCTACCTCAGAAGTGTAGACAGCAGTGAACTTAGGGCAGTAACAGATGGACGGACAACATAATTCACAAAAGAAGTGCCATTGAATCCAGGCACCTGTTGGGGAGGCAGGAACAGGGAGGTTGTTGCAAGTTATTGATTCTCTGCCATTTCAGATACTTAAGGGTGACAACTGCCTACTGCAGTCTTCTGTAATGTATCTGGTTTAATGGCTCTTTGAGGATGGATTGAAACGGGAATCAAAGAATCAATAGATTTCAGAATATGAAAGGGTCTGAATGAGCAGCATGTAGAGTTTCCTCTGTCACCTGCTTGCCTGGTGGTGAAGGTGGCCTGGAGAGCTAACTGCTTTCAGCATGGATGAGTTGCTCTCTGGTCTGTCAGCGTAGATTTAAAACAGGGAGATTAAAAAAAAAGGCAAACAACTAACAATAAATAACATTTTTCATCTTCCTCCTGAAAATAGATGGTACCTGTAAGTAGCTCTTCTCTTCTGGGCATTGGATGTCCAGGAGGAAGGTTAGAAATTTCACAGTTGCTTGATTCTCTAAATAAGTTTACATGAAATGTTAGGTAGTAAGTGTTCTGTTTATTTCCCCATGCCTTAAATCAGATTTGAAACGAGATGGGATAAAATGCATGGTGTGCCATGATAAGAAGTTCCAATGACCTTTACCTTGTATCCATGATCTGCCACTTCCAGGCCTCATAAACAAAACAACCAGAAGTGGTCACAGTTAAAGACCCCTTCAAAAAGCTCTTATCTATACAAAAGTACTGGACACTGCTCTGATATTGGTGATTAAAATCTCAGAAAATCTGTCCTTGTTATTTGTGTGTGCAGAGTCCTGTGCTGACCACACTTTGCCTTTCCATCTGGTCAGGAGCAGAGTGTGGAGCAGTTTCCTGTAAAAGCTGGAGCAGATATAGAACATGTTACAGGAATGAACAAGGATTTTATCCCTCACCTGAGGATGGTAGTGCATCTCTTTGAGCCCTGAGCAGGGTACTGGGGAAGCCATGGGGGTGAAACACAGAGGAAGGAAAGATGCAAGATCCCCCTGAGCAGGCTCACATGGGGGTGGAACACAGAGGAAGGAAAGATGCAAGATCCAGGGAGGAATGAGAAGAGTGGATTGGTAGAAGGAGTTGTCATTCTGTGTAAGGAAGGAGAATTGAGGCTGATGGTATAGGGAGGTGGAGTGGAGGCAGAGGTGAGGCACCCCTGAAATTCTCAAACATGATTACCTGAGTTAGCATTATCTGAGTTGCAAAGTCAGGGACATAGATGTCAAGATGGTCCTTAGATCTTGAGGTCTGACTTTTTTCAGGAGGACAAACAGTTACAGCCATGCTTAAAGTCAGCTGAAGTTTGGCTTTCAGAGGACAGTCCTACACAATGCTAATACTCTGGAAAAAAATCAGACTACTGCAATTTTAAATGAAATATAAAAATTATGTTCATTAACATTTGTAAGGAATGCTGTAGAAAAGCCAGTGAGGAAATTCAATTTTGAAAATGGGGTTTGAGTAACGTGCAATAAATGTTGAGGATAATTTAGTTTCTTGAGGTGGAGAAAATTACTGTGGGAAGCTCATTTAGATTTGGTACTGATTAATAGGAAGGAAATGGCTAAGATTCTAATGGTGGTAGATAATTTGAATGAAAATGATCACAAAGTGATAGAGTTCACGATTCTTAGAAGGGAAGGATGGCAATATCAGCAAGACATTAAAAGAAAGAGAAGACAGACTTCAACAAAGTGCAAGAACTGGTAGCTACACCTCTTGGAAACATGTTCTGTGCGGATTCCAGGACAGAAGACCTGGAAGCTGCCCAGAAAGCTTGTACAAAGGGCTGGAGCCCTACTGGGCTGTAATTTCTATCCTGAAACTATGCTAATAGCAAGCCAGTAGCACAGTGGGAGCAAGGCATATGTAGGTCTGTATATGACTTGCAAATTCAGGCTTCAAACCATGAAGAGAAAACATCACATACAGCCAGAGAGGCCTTGTTTTATCTATCATCAGAGCTGCTCAGGATCCTGTTACCTTTTGGACTGTCAAATTGTTTCACAAAGATTAGGAACAAGAAAACGAAAATGCAAAGTAAGATAGGGGATATTAAATAACAAGAATTACATAAATGGATGAAAAAAGTAAGGGGAATCTGAATGAAATATATGTTCAGTACTTTCTGAGAGATGAGGGAAACACAACATGGGGAATGGGCATTTGCTGATGTTGTTTCCTGCTGTTTGCTGCAGTCAAAAGAAGAATGGACTAAAGAATAAGTGTATTTATTGAGTAGATGTTCCTATGTCAGTGGGGCTGTCTGAATAAGAAGGAAGTAATAGAATAATGCTAGAGCATCTAGTGACTGTCTTCTGGGTAGAAATTGTTAAGTCTTAAAGAACTAGCTAAAACTCAGTAATACCAAGACAAACTAAACCAACACCCACACTCTACCCCCTAAAAAAGAAAGGTCAAGAAAACTGTGGATTACTCATCCTAACTTCATTATATAGAAAGCCACAAGAATCTTATTACTCAAGATATAAACATTTCAATAATCAGGTTCTAATAAAGTGGCCAGTAGGGATTTATTGAGAACAAATTGTGCCCAATAAATTTAATCTCCTTTTTTTGACAGTGTAGCTGCTCTAATTAAGGGAAGTGGTAGATTTTTGACACATTAAACTTTTATCAGGAAGCTGAGGAACGGTGACTTGAATTAAATCACTGTTAAATGGGTATTCAGCTGCTGGAAAAAATCTCACAGTGGAGATCACTGTGAAAATAGTCTGTCTCCTTTACTGTCCCTCACCACATATTGATACACATTGATAAAATCCTGAACTTTCTCTCCAGACTGAAGGGTCCCAACTTTACTGATCTCTTCTGATGTGTCAGATGCTCCAGTGCTTAAACAGTCTTGTGGCCATTCACTGGACTCATTCCAGTGTGCCCATATCCTTCTGGGGAGCCCAGAACTGGGTACAACACCCGATTGTCTCACCAGGGCTGAGTTAAAGGATCACCTCCCTCAACTTGTGGGTGATCCTAATGCAGCCCAGGATGCTTTGGCACTTCCTTGCTGCAAGGGCACATTGTTGTCTCATGGTCATCTTGTCCATCAAGACACCCATGTCGTCCTCTTCAAAGCTGTTTCCAGTCAGTTGGCTGAGATTGGATCTGTACTTGTACTTTGTGTTCATGATGTGGCTTTTCCCAAGGTTTCCTTCTACTGTAATGCATTGCAATTTTGCTCCTGCAGCTTTGCCCTTACCCTGAGCTGGAATATGGAGCTCATATTGGGCTAATTGTCACACTGCTTTCCTCTTTTGGACAAACTTGTGAAGTCCACTCTTTAAAGGTGTTCACCTGGGGTGGAATCCTTTTTGAAATTCTGTGGAGATCCTTCTTTAGTTTCATAGTACCTGTTTTTGAAGTGTGAAGTGTGAGTACCCAAGGAAGTGCCAATGCCATACACAGCAGTTAAACCAGCTCTCAGTTTGTGCTTACCACTTACACAGCCAAGGATTGTGCTTGTTTTAGCTGTAGAGATATATTGATAAATCTTGTCCCTGTGTTTCCTGCTTCATTCTGTACTGTGGATTTTGCAAACTGTGTTTCCAGATGGATTGATCTTGCATCAACTCAGGTTAAGTAGAGAGTTAGCCTCTGTCGGTTGCAATGGTTTTCCTATCAGGAAGTTATCATCTGTAATTTCTAGAGCCATAAAGATGGGTTACTGGTAGCAGCCTCAGACCACCAGAATGTGTTTTCAGAAACAAAACCTTCCATTATGACAGTTTATTTCTTTGCTTTTTATTCTTTTCTCTGGTTAAGGTGTTTATTTTCTTATTTACTTACTTTCTTTGGTTTGATGTTCTGTTAAATAGGCATTTTTTGATGCATCTCCTAGGCTGTTGATTTATCAACCTTCCACGTGCTGTTCTGCTAAACTACTGGTAATTTTAAAGACAGTAATGGTAGCTTTTGATCCAAGGTACCATTTCTTCCCCTCGTGGATAGAACCAGAGTGCTCATAATTTCAAATATAAATGAAACACAAAGTATGTTTATAACCAAGACAGCTAGATCAATAACTCAGGGTGACAACTGTGTCTTGAAGGCAACTTTTTTCTTTGTTTTACAGGCAATGCCACTGCAGTTAAGCAGTCTCGGTACAGGATTATCATTCAGGATTCTGCCAATGGGGGACAGGCATGCCCAGACACCTTGTATGAGGAAAGAGAGTGTGAAGATATTCCCATCTGTCCAGTGTATAGGTAAAAAGTGTTAGCTTGGAATCAGTCTCCAGTGGGTGTGCACTTCTCCAGGAGTGACTCTTATGTGACTGTCCTGCACAATTTTTACCAGGAAATAACATAACGGTGGAAAATGCAGAGTTAAAACAAATAATGTGCCTCGCAAAAGGTGTAAAAGTGGAGTTCTAACTGGAGATTTCAGTAGCTTTGGTATCATCAGAGCAAGCACCAATAGACACAGCTCCTAGAAATGGTAACCTCAGGGTCTGATGTGTTTATGGAAGCTGTTACTGGGAACTCTCCCCTCAATGTATCCAACAATCAATGTAAGCTATTTTGGGACCACAAGCCCTCAACTGCCTCAATCATAATTGTATGCTTATTGCAGAAACTCTTGTCTTTTCCCCTGATGCTCTCGCTCCAGTGAGTAATACACACTTAAAAAATTCTGATTCGACAAATAGTACAATAGGGCAATTACTCACCACTCTTCATTAAAATTCTGTGACCCATCTGTTATGCAATATGAATAAATAGAAAAGCTTTATATCTTTGCATATAAATCTCCAGCCTGCACATCCTGTAGGAGATGGTCTCAGAGCAGAGCAGGGAGCTGAAGGTGATTCCAAGCAGGAGACACACTGCTCTGCTCTGCCTGGCTCCAAACCTGCTGTGCCATGGAAAGCTGCTTTCTGGTGCTCTTGGCTGGCACATCTACAAGCATAGAAAGCAGACTGGGAACAGCATCAGTTGTATGAGACCAGTCTTGCAGGAGGAGAGCCTGATTTCAAAGCTCACTGAAGATGTTTCCTGTGTCTTATATGTAACTTTGAACCATGCCCTGCAAAAATGAGAAAGGGGAAAATTGTTGCAGGATGATGTGGCTTTCTAGAAGATGAATCTGTCATCCGAATTTCAGTTCACAATGCTTATTTCAGGAGAAATTACAGCTTTTTGACTCTGTTTTTCCTCAAGTCCCCTCAGCATATCAATTTGTGACAGAAGTGTTAACTGTGTTCCAGTTTTAACCACTTAATTGTTCACTTTTTCCTGTTGCAGGTGGAAGACTCACCGCTGGAGCCCCTGTGTGCTGGTGCCAGACTCGGTGAGACAGGGTGTGCTAGGACAGAATGAGGCATGTGGACATGGTTTGCAGTCAAGGGGTAAGCTTCCTCCATCCACTTTCTGAGTATTTAAGGTGTTGGAGTGTGACATTTAAGTAGGGTATCTGCTCTTTTACAGTAGCTGGTTTGGAAACTAAGTGACTGAAGCACTTAAGATGTTTTGGGAAATGAACCCATTGTATAATTTTGCTACTGTGCTGGATACTAAAGTACCACTAAGATGATTGTTTGGGTTATAGGAGGGGATTTATGCTTTGTATTCAAGTAGTCACAGTAACCTGCTCTTCTGCCTAAAGCTGAAGCATGTGGGCTTGAACAGAATTATCTGTAGGCCTCTATGAAGTAATCCATTCTTGGTGCTAAAAATGGAAAGCATAATTTCCTCATGATTTTAAATTTTACTAATGATTTGCCTGAAGACTGATTTTAATTAAGACTGTTGGAGAGGTTCAGCATGGGTAAAGGCTTTGGGCTCCTGCCCTTGGCGTAATTAAGCACTTAGAAATTACAGTGATCCCATTGTCTGAACAGAAGTGGTGAGAAGAATGTCACTGTATTCAGAGTGTGTGATCAGAGTCTGTAGTGATGCCTGCAGATGGCTGGAGATGTGGCTTTTATCAGTCTCCTGGGAAATCTAATGAAACCTTTAACAAAAGGTTATTTTTATTGAAAAAAAAATTGCTATACAGGTATGCTAACTGAGGAAACTTGACATAATAATTTACTCCTTCACAAGGGTAGAAACTATTCTTTAAAGGTGAAGTGAATTTCTTATATAATCTAGAAACAAAGGAAAAGAAAGAAAAGCCCTGACAGTATGTGGGATGTATCTGAAAGAAGAGATGTGTTTTAAACTAAAACTCAAAGGAGTAAATACCTTTAACTAGGTTTTGACCACAAACCTTTCCACAAGGATTTGAAATTTGTAAATTATATTGCTCAATCTCTGTGTGAAGGGATGGTAATTTTTATGCTCCAGTAGGTACACAAACTTTATATTACTCTTACTCTGACAGAATTAGAACTATAATAGAAGAGTATCACACTTATTTTTCCTCTGTGGAGAGTCCTCCAATAATTACATAGACTATGTGCTGTTCTGGAGTAATCATGAAAAACATACCTCATACCTTGGTGGGTTTCAGCAAAAATTGTTTCAGTGCTGCATTCACTTTTTGTAATTAACTGTGGCTTTTGTAACTTTTTTTGTCATAGAAGTGGTTTTTGGAGGTATTTTTGGAATAATATATGAGGTGAGGCTGGAGATTTGGTCTTGGAGAAGTGTCTTGTGTGGAGTTCACAGGGAAGATGGAGCTACACTTCCCAGAGGTGCCCAGTGAAATAAAAGAAGATAACAGTCATAGGCTGGAGTGAGAGAAACTCTCAGGTTGCCTGGAGAGACTGTAGATTCCTTGAAGATACTAAAAACTCAACCAAATAGGGTCTTGAGCAGCCTTTTCTAACTTTGAGGTTTATCCTGCTTAGCACACGCATTGGATCTTCAGATGTCCCTTCCATTCTAAATTACCTGTGAGTCTGTGGGGCTTTTTTTAGGGTGATCTGTGCCATCAGTGGAAGAGCTGCAGGTGTTGGTGTTAGATGCTTTCCTGCAATATTCAGGCATCCTGTAAATGAGCTTGTACTTGGGGTATCCCCACCACTACTCCATGCAGTTAATTGGCTTACATAATGTATCAGCGTCTTTAGCCAGTGAGTACTTCTTCTCCAAAGAGTATTCATATGAATTTGCCTAATTTCTTTTCTTACCATGTGACAGCAATTACCCTTTTACCACTGAAGATAAGCAGTCTCCCTGTTCCTTGTAGCATCCATTTTTAGATAGTTTTTATTCTGGCCATTCCCTGACTGTCATGTAAAAAAGAGGATTTTGGTTTTCAGTGACTGTCATATCTAGCCAATTATACAAGGACATTGAATTCATATCAATTATTTCTAAAGGAAAACTGTGTGTGTTTATGTGTACCTATTTAGAACAATGGCTGTGCTGAGGGAAAATTAAGTCTGAAATGACTTTCAAGCTCCATTCTTTCTCTAGGCTAGATTCTGAGATAGATACTTACAGATCTTGTTCCATGAGTGTTTTCACTGAAATTGCACATAAACCTACTGCGTAATATGCAGAAGATATCAGAATTTGTCTGTGAATAATAAGCAGAGTAGCCAAAGAGATGACAGCTGTCTGAAGCTGCAGTTTTTGTGGTTTTATCTTGGAAGGGTATTACACTAATTACAATAGCCTTTCATTTTTTATATCAGCTTCAGTGGACTAACTTATTCAGAAAACAGTCATACAGGAAAGAGAAAAGAAGCCTTCAGAACTAATACAGTTTTTATTTAAACTTCATGGAGGCATAATTTGCAAAAAGCTCCTGAGATAAGGCACTCAAGTAAAACAGGGTGGGGATGTTACTGTGGCTTGGGAGTTACTCAGGCAACATTTCTAACAGTAAATTAAGAGCTTTGCAAACTTTTCTATTGATGGATAGCTGTTGTTTTCCTCAACAAGGGACTAATTTACTAGAAGGTGTATAGACTGTGAGAAAAGGTCCTGCACGTGGTTGAGGGTGATCCCAGGCACAAGTACAAGTTGGGTGGAGATTGAATCAAGATGAGCCCTGTGGAGAAGGACTTGGGTGTGTTGGTTGATGAGAAACTCAATGTGCTCCAGCAATGTGTGCTTGCAGCCCAGAAAGCCAACCTGGCCTGCATCAAAAGCAGCATGGCCAGCAGGTCAAGGAGGTGATTCTCCACCTCCACTCTGGTGAGACCCCACCTGGAGTACCATGTTCATTTGTGAGGTCCTCAGCATAAGGATGTGGACCTGTTGGAGTGGTCCAGAGGAAGCCACAGAGCTTCTCAGAAGGCTCAAGCACTGCTATGGATGCAGACTGAGACAGCTAGGGTTGAGAAGGCTCTGTGGAGACCTTAAAGCACCTTCTAGTACCTTAAGACCCTAAAAAAGAGCTGGGGAGGAACTTTTGACACAGGCATGGAGGGATAGAGCAAGAGGGAATGGCTATAAACTGATAGATGGCAGGGTTAGATTACTTATTTGGAAGAAATTCTTTGCTGTGAGGCACCAGCACAGGTTTCCTAGAGAAGTTGTGGATGCCCCATCCCTGAAAAGACTTCAAGGCCAGGTTGGATGGGGCTTTGAGGAACCTGATCTAGTGGAAGGCGTCTCTGCGCATGGCTAAGGGATTAGAACATGATGAGCTTTAAGGTTCCTTCCAACCCAAACCATTCTATGATTTCATGACAATTGGTTCTGTTTCAGGTGCCCTTCAATGACTTTTTTGTTCTCATGTGTTTGTGATGTAGGATCCTTCAGAAGTTACCTCTCCTTTCAGTGCTGGCATGAGCAGCTGCCTTAGACATATGCATTTTTTGGGGGGAAAAATGTGTTGCTTATTGCAAGGGATTGTTAAGGTTTAATTAGTGGATGGAAAGCCTGTTTTAAGCAAGTATCTTTGAAGGCTGCTTCAAATGCCATTGATAAAGTAAATAGACAGGTATTAAGGACTAGACTGGTCTAATGAGACTCTGCTTTAAAAACTAGTCTTGGAAATACACTGACAATGTGTTTATTAAAAAAAGTAGTTACTTTCCAAAAGCAAGGAGAAGCTGAAGCAATGGAACATGTCATGTCTTATTTCTCTTTCCACTTTGCTTTGATTCATTTGGGAGATTTGACCATATCTCCTCCTGTTAATGAGACAGTAAGTCCATCTCAGAGCTGTAGCTCCCCATCTCAAGAATCCAGAAATGCTGTGACACAGAGCAGTAGATATATTATTATTAGAGATAGTTTATGGGTTTATGTACAGGAAAACAACAGACCCACCAATGCAGTAATAACAAGCTACTCCTCTGCTTTGGAGAAGGGCTCACTGGAGGTCACAGGGTGGATTGTTCCTGGAGAGCTTCATTGGGCATCTCAGTAGCAGATTTCTTTCGGTGTGCTTTACCGTCAGACCGTGTATGATGTATTTCTTTCCTCCTTTAACTGGGTTGTAAATTTGCACCACGTGGACTTTGCAAAGATGGCTGGTGTTAAATATAACCCGTTTCTGTTGAAAAGTTCATGTATGGATTGACAAAGGAAAAAGAATTCAGGCAGCACTGGACTCAAGCAATTTAAGATTCCTGTCTCCATTGCAGGTTTGTGGCTCTTGCTCTGGAGCTTTCTGATAGACACAGGGATACTGCAGACAAGACTAGTTTTAGGCTGAGATTCAGACCAGGAGCTTATCATCATGAGAAAATAATGGTAACAGTCTGCTCTGTAAGTTTTCTGAGTGTGTCCAAGTGCAGTGATAGTTCCAGTAAAATCTTATATAAAATATAGTCAGTACTGTGATTACAAGCATAATAGTGACTAAGTTAATGTGCCCATATTAAGCAAGATGAAAGGATGAGTTTAGATATGGCCTACAAAATATTTCCAACAGGCATCCTTTAGCAGTATTATCTTGTGTATTATCAGTCAGTAACACAGTAATGGCCATATACATTGCTGTTGTTTCTCCTGCAATTATTTTATGGTAACCTATTTATAATGAGATGTGCCATCAAAAAAGCATCAGTGTTACCATTTCCTTTTTTTGCTCGCAAGATAGTCACCCAGCAGTTCCTATTCTCTGTTTTGTAGGTAGTTAATATAGCTGCTGATTATCTAAATTAACAGATGTATTTGCTGTAATTTGAGTTGCAGAATGCTTTTTGCACAGAAATACCAATTTCAGGAGGTACATATTAGAATCCTGTGATAATTTACAGGCTAAAGGCAATGTGGTAACCTAGAGTTTACAAGGAATACATTTATGATAGTAAACATGGTGAAGACTTGACTGCTTCAGTTGGCTGGTGTTATTTTCTGATCGGTGCCCTGCGGTGCAGTCTTGTGTATAAATCTGTCCAGCTGATAGCAGCTTTCCTGTCATCAGCAGCTCCTGGTAGGACAATGGCACCTTGAGCCTTATTTTGAGTGATGCTGGGGGTTCATTAGGTTTGTCAGT